AAACCTTTTGCATTGCCTTTCCCACTCTTTTCAATTTTTGGCCACGTTTATTCATTTTATTCACCGAGACCAATGGGAACAGGCCACAATTAAAAGGTGTTTGCACACAGGCAGGAGTTTCAATCAGTAAAACCAGTTAAATACCACCCAGATCCCATCCAGGAAAGCATACCGGAGGGAGAGAAAGGCAGGAAAATGGGACTTGCGGAGTTCAGGGGAGAACGCTGCTAGGCTTGTAGCAAAATACACAGGCAAAAATTAAAAACTGCAGGCTAATCCCTGAAGGCAGTGCTCGGAATACTGCACGGATTCAAACACTCTCAGGGCACCAGCCCCACAATGAAACACCAACATCTCCAATTATTCCTAATCCCCCAAAAGCTACACTTGATAAAGAACAATCAAGAGCGTAATCTTATTTGATATGAGTTTTATCAATTTTAGCTGCTGCTTTCACTGTATCAATAAAATTCCACCGAAACTTGAATGAACTGTAAAATTAAAGGATAATCGCACAAGTCTCTTGTATTTGGCAATTATGATTATACTTGTCAAAATTTAATTTGTAGAATGTGCTGTTCCAGTACCTTCAGGTTCTTCTCTATCAACTGGGAAAAAAGGAAAATTATATCTTTAAGACAAGTATGAAAGACATTGTTACTTCCACAGTCAACTCTGTAACTGAGCTCCGACATTGTATAATTGACTTTGCAAGCAGAACAACAGCAATATAACAAAGAAAATGTCAGTGTTTTCACAGCGCTAATCTATAGCACTAGGAGGGCCTCCTGCTGTCAGCCAGAGCTGACAATACAATAGCTTTCAAAGGGATATTACCATCATGCTTTTATTCTTGACATCAATCAAGACAAAGAGAATCCTTTTCACAAGACATTCAAAATCAAACCTTTGTATGAGCAGATAGGTAAAACAGCATTCCTTTAAAGAAGATCATTCATAGCAATCAACTAATTGGAGCTCAGCAAATGGTTGAAGTATTTTTATTTACTTTGCAGATAACGAAGTAGCAAGCGACCCCCCTTTTCTCCTCTTGACTGACACAAATGAGGCAGGTAGGGTGTGAATCAAAAGTTTCTATCAGCATTTTTTGCCAAGTGAAAGCAAAAAAATATGACAGCAATTCTGCAACTTCAAGTAGGATAACAAATCTAGACTTAATTAGTGCATTCTTTTGCAAAACAGTTTGATTACTGACTAGCACGTTTATGCACAAAATACCCTTGCAAGCTGACAGCAATTTGCAGAACTGTCAAATTCAGCAACCAAAGTGCATCTGATGCTCAAAACCTTGTGCCGACGCGAGCCCAAGTCCCCACAAATTGCAGTCGAGTAATTCCTCAATTACATTTACACGGGACTGGAAACCTACGAGTTACTGTTACCAGCATCCCAGCACTTCACAGAACTGCTTCCCAAGGCCCCAAGCTGTAGAGCGAGAACCTACAGTTTAATCAAGAGGAAGGATGAGCCCCTGCCTTCCTCAGCCCCACCGCCGACTGGGTGCCAGCAATCCCTGCGGCTGGTGGCACTGGGCAAACTTTTAAGGATGTTGGTGTTGACATCACTCCCCATCACTTGTGACAGGGGACAGATAGTGTGTTTTGATGGTCACAACCGTGTGATGGTTCTGGGGTTCAAGACCACGTGGTTTTAATGACACTGAAGAAGGTACAACTCTTCCCTGCAGGAAAGGGCTAAGGCCCTCAGCCAATGTGGTTACTGGCAGCAGGGAAAAAGAAGGGTCTGTGTTGAGGAAAATTACTTTCATGGGCTTCGTCTGTGACGTGAAGCAAAGCTTCAGAACAGGCCAGTGGTTTACTCCATCACCGCTACCACCACACTGTCACTGAGGAGTTTACTTTGTAAGCCAACAAAGACTCAACCCCTCCTCCTTTTACTCTGTCCTCAGCCATCCGACACAACCCGCCTTGAAACCAAGCAGAACTTTTTCCCCAGCCACACGCTACGAGGTTAACACCTTCAAGTTTGCACAAACTAATGGCCAGAACAAATCAGCATATTGTAATCGCAAATCGTAAATTCCACATCGGGGGAGAAGCCCAGGGCCACTGCTGGAGTTAAGAGCAGCAGGAAGGACGGCAAGTTTCTGCCAGGCTGAACCTGAGACCTGCTCACACAGCACAGGGGCCACATGACTTGCAGCTTTGGTTTGCCATCCCTCCCTTTTCAATAACGTGCATCTCGAGAGTTGTCAACATTGGATACTTCTGTCAAAGTCGGTTTCTTCCTTAAATGCCAGGCGGCACCGCTCCCCGTTAACGTGCGGCCCTTCCGCATGCAGAATAATCCCTTTCATCACAGGCACACGCTGATTCTATTTTAGTGCCTAATCTTTCTGAATGAAAAAAAAAAAAAAAAAACACCACCTGCCCAGGAGATGGCTCTGGGACTTGGAGCAGAGCTGTCACACATCTGTGACTCCTCCACAGACCAGCTCTTTCTGCCCAGGCACTTCATCCCTGGAAAAAAAAAAAAAAAAAAAAAGGATGCACAAATCTCCGTAGTGGTTAATAAATAGCAAAGCTGCTGCACAAAGTGAAATAAATACGCGGAAAAGAGAAAAAGGGTAAATTATTTTAAGTCCTAAATGCTACACGTATATCCACATAATTTATGCTTGTTTTCTTCTCAGCTGAATTGGGAAACCTGTGACCTCAGAGTGCCTTTATTTATTACATCTCAATTATTTCCATGGAAACGCGTACTGTGGCAATCTACTGGGTTGCCAGCTCCCTAGACCACAAAATGTATATGATGGACTTTTTAAAAGCAGATGATACGGATAAGGAAAGGAAGAAATTCTTTATCCTACGTACACATATGAGCTGCCTCCTATTATCCAAAATTTCACCCAGATTCAGCTCATTCCTTAGACTCCCTGTTACTCAGCTCCTGCTCAGACCTGTAATTTACAGCCAGTTTATGCTGAAGCTGAAAACGCATATTTTTTTTTGTGCCTAGAGACTACAGAAATATTTAGAATCTTTATAAACTGGGCTTCACCTAGCTTACTGTTGCAAAGGCCTTCTAGATATTTCTACATTACAGAAATGATGTTTCTTTGCTATGACTTGCCAGTAAGTTACCTGCTTCAATTCATAAAAAATGCTCTTGTAAATAGTAATCAGTTCTGTATGAGAATTAGGGTCAAAATTTCATTATAAAGTATCAACCCCTTGTGAAAGATACCATTGCCTAAAAAGTAATGAGGTAGAAAACAAAATGACTAGTAAACGGTGAATATCTAATGTTGTTATGGTACGAGATGTTAATGTTTACTAACTGAGCTTCTATAGCAAATAAGGTTTTCACTGACATAGAACTATTTCCTGAATGTTAAATGCGACGTTTTAGCACGGAAAAATATTTTAAACTCCAGAGGCCTGGCCACTAAACGTGATGCCCTCATCCGAGGAAAGTCATGACCCGAGGCCTGCACCACTGTTTTCAAACTGCGATTCCTTTGAGTTTCAAACAACCTTATTTCAGAGCATCCCCTAGAAATAGCTCTAGCTCTGCCCTTTCTTCTGCCCACAGACTGTAACGTTCATCTACCAATTACCCAAGTAGCTCCTTGAGCAGAGATTGTCCGGGATTGCGGAGGGTCAAAACGCCACGCTGCAAACCTGCCCCACCAGCACAATGCTCAAAGATACTGTTAGTCCGGGGGGAAAATAATGGTTAAGGGTTTTGTAGATGAAAGACTTGACTTTACGAAAGAACACCACGCTGCAAACCTGCCCCACAATGCTCAAAGATACTGTTAGTCCGGGGGGAAAATAATGGTTAAGGGTTTTGTAGATGAAAGACTTGACTTTACGAAAACTTCACAAACATTTGAAGCAACGTATGACAACTTCCATTGCGATCATCTGTTCAACAGTGGATATTTCACAAATAATATAAAATGGCCCTGGATGGGGTTCGGATTCCTTCTTTAGCTGGTCGATTAACTGCCTGCTAATTTTGTCCAGCCGCAAGTTATTTAATTACAAAGGCTTTAGGACTTTTTTGTTTCATCAGGGGCATGCAAAGTTATGATCCTTTTGTGCTCCTGTACAACAAAGCCCCCCAGACCACTGAGTTTGCGACTTGTGCTTTGTGCGGAGGACAATAAAACCTTACCCAACATCAGCTAACCTCCTCGTGGCTGGGAGCGAAAGCCTTCGGAAATCACGCCTTCCCCTCTCGCACCAATTCACTTAAAAGTCAAAAAAAAAAAGCTGGCAAGGCGCGCAATACGGCGCGGGGCTGCTCCCGGCCCTCCCTTTACGTTTCCACCAGCAGCTGTTTTTCTTAGGGAGAGGTTTTAAAACACCCCTTTCTCTGTGAAGAAGAGTTTAAGGTCTAAACCTTTTATCGACGCAGCCCTTGCTAAATTTCCCTATTGTTTCTTCAAGCCCAAGCCAAGTTTTCCACCCGCATCCGTGGCACGGCTTTTAATTCTCCTTTTCTTTCCCCCATTGGACGGCGGGAGGAACCAGCCGGGGTTCCCCATTCCCGAACATCAAGAAAACATTTCATTTCCAGCTAAACCGGGTAAAAACACGAGGTGCCCCCCCATCCCCCGGCCCCGCGGATGCGCCCACCCGCACCCGAGCATCACCCCCCCAAAAAAACTTTCCTCCCTCTCCCGCCTCACCCGTGCCACCCCGGCTTTATCGCGACACGTGTGGGGGGAGTGAGTGGCGGAGGGGACCGCGGTAGCAACGCACACCCCCGAAACGGACGGCGGGCGGGCGGGCGAGCTCCCCACGCGGGGCGTTCGCCCCGCGTGGGGAGCTCGCCCGCCCGCCCGCCGTCCGTTTCGGGGAGGGGGGGTGTTCCGCCATCACCGGCCCGTACCGGGGATGAGAGGGGGGGGATTTGCAATCCCCGCCAAGCCGGGACCCGGCCCTGATTGGCCGCGTAGCGGCGGCGGAGGCGGTTGCCGGTGACCGGCGGAGAGGATGCCTTACCTTTCACCGAGCGGGGCTTGGCTTGCTTCCTCC